GTCCGCGCTGAGAACAATGGCTGTCGGAGTTTAGCCTCTATACACATGTAATAATGTCATTAAAGCGCACTCTCATCATTAGGCAACATTACACATTGCGCCACCCCAATAGTCGCAATGTTATATTTCAGACGCAAACATATTGATTAAGCAGTATTGCCTTGTTGGTTTTCTTCTCTGATAAAGGAGATATTTTTGGAAGACTCGTAAATGTGGTATGGTGATGGTTGGGGAAATAATTGACACTGCAATTGTGGTAACAAAAATCCGAAAATTGCTTTGAACTATTCGCGTAGGTCCTTTCCTGTAAATGCAGCACGTGGAATTATGGCTCTAGGATATTTACCGTTACTTCTTTTCGGACCTTTCACAGTGAGACTCGTTTGTACACAAGCCAATATGGCGCTCTGGTGTTTTCCCATAGCTGAGGGACATGTGGATGGTGTACAGGGATGGATTTAGTTGTCTATATCAGGAACCAAACCCGGTGGCTGAAAGTGTGGAAAGTCTCAAGTATCTTTTCACCGTGGTCACAACTGACCCGAGGCTATCGGCTAGCAACAACTTCAGGTGGCCCTTGGGTTCCGGCAAGCAACATTTACAAGCGTCCAAGTCTTACATGTGCAAACATAATCTCCAGACACGGATCATCCATATTCCTACCCCTCAAAATATGGACTCTCTAAATTCTGACCCCCTCCACATACTGAACCCTCCTTGTCGTTGTCTTCTATATTTTGACCCCTTTCCTTAACGATCCCTCTACAATTTGACCCCTTTCCTTAACGATCCCTCTACAATTTGACCCCTTTCCTTAACGATCCCTCTACAATTTGACCCCTTTCCTTAACGATCCCTCTACAATTTGACCCCTTTCCTTAACGATCCCTCTACAATTTGACCCCTTTCCTTAACGATCCCTCTACAATCTGACCCCTTTCCTCAATGACCCCTCCACAATCTGACCCCTTTCCTTAACGATCCCTCTACAATTTGACCCCTTTCCTTAACGATCCCTCTACAATCTGACCCCTTTCCTTAACGATCCCTCTACAATTCGACCCCTTTCCTTAACGATCCCTCTACAATTTGACCCCTTTCCTTAACGATCCTTCTACAATCTGACCCCTTTCCTCAATGACCCCTCCACAATCTGACCCCTTTCCTTAACGATCCCTCTACAATTTGACCCCTTTCCTTAACGATCCCTCTATATTTTGACCCCATTCCTTAATAACCCTCCACAATATGACCACTTTCTATACATCACTCTATGCATTTTGAGCCTTTTCTATGCCGACCCATCTGCACATTAGAGAACGAGTCAACACTCGTTAAGACTAACCCAAACTGATCCAAATTTTCCTTTGAAGTAATCCCGTGTGGGTTTTGTGGACTGCCTAGCGACATTTGGAGAAATAGCTGGAGAATGTTTCAAAGCATAGCCATAAATCCCAGAGTTCGTTATAACTCTTGATTGCCTCTGGGTCCTTTATCCTTAACCTGTCGCAAGTTGTTAAGTGTTTGTTCATGTGTTTAAGCCGTTTCCAAGTGACACTGTCCACAAAGGTTACAAAGATTCAATGCAATGCTTTCTGTGCTGATATGATGTGATTGTGCGTCTGTGCGTATGTATGTAAGAGGGTGGGGGTGTTGTTGACGGATAATAGAAGAAACTTCGATATGAGCTGGGTGGTAAAGTGAACGGAGGTGAATGAACCTTTATTGACTATGATTCTCTTAAGGCAGTCAGATATCGTACTTGAATTAACAAGAGTCCAAGGTACATGAGGCCCATTCGTCACCAGGCCTGTCCACAGGGGGATACATGAGGATTGTGTGTCCACAATGTCAGACCTGGTGCATCGTGCTTCATGGACCTGACCTATGACTAACTGTGACATAAAAAAAACATTATTTTATTTGTATTCCGAATTGAATGTTCATCAATTTATGAATTTGTTATTATTTATGAATTTGTAATTTTAAACAGTTACACCCAATTAACTATAACTTTATGTGAACTGGAGCTCAGTTGAAATAATACCTGTTACATCACGCGCATTGCTTATTGTAAGTCAAATTGTGGCAGTTGCAGCTTGCAGATGTGTTGAAGATTACCGTATACACTAAATGAACTGAAGGTGCATATAAACATGATTATCACGATTAAAGTATAAGACAAATACAATCAATCTTACCAACAGCTTGTGACAGAACTGTCGATTTCTATCGTCTAAACCAACGATGTTAGATCAATAGTCGTGTACTATTCATATTGTAAGATTGTATCGTGTGGAACTCGTAAACGTGATTTTCCTGCTTTCAAAGATGCAATTTTGCTGATGCGGCTTAAAAGAACATTCACTCACTTACTCTACTAGGGCAAGTGTTGCGTCGAAAAGGTTCGGTGTACGTCGTTTTCGCAACCTTTAACAGCTATATTCGACTTAAACAGTTCGCGAAAAGCCCGTTTGTAGTCTGAAAGTTCGAGCACTGACATTGGTGTAACTATTTTATGTGATGATTAACATTCACGGTCATGATAATGTAATATTGGTCTTTTTCATATGTATTTATTTATAACCGTTTATAAATATTCGGTAGTTCAATCATTACCATTTTATTAAATCACATAAATATCATGGACATGCATAGTAGCAAAACAAAACCCCAAAGATTTCAAAAGCTGGTTGCAAAACATCTATCCTTATCATAATTATTAATCATTCCTTCGAAACAGGCAGGTACTGGCAAAATGTGAACGAACATTCATAGTATCATGTTACGCAAGCTTGATCGTGTCGGGTTAGAATTGATCTTCATCAACCCATGTTTGTTGTAAGAGGCCACTAACTCGTGGTCAGGCACTCTTTCCTGGTTGACATATGTCATCGTACCCCAAATTGCATAGATTATGCTAATGATGTCAGTTACAGCATTGCCTGGTCCAGATTTGTTTATTTACAGACCGCCGTCATATAGCTGGGACATTTCTGAGAATGGTGTTAAAAAAGAAACAAACAAAATATGGTTGCATCATCTCGCTCAACCACCAGGGCCATGTCATCAAGGCATAGTAGCTTAAACGCCAGGGTGTACACCTAACTGGAGTCTCTTAACTGAAATAATATAATAAATCTCTTTTAAGTATGATAGAATGTGTTGTTTGACGTCACGAAACACATCTTTACTTGACATACAACGCGTTCGGTTTTTAAATTACATTTAGCGTTCTTAAATCAACGATAAAGGTCTGCAAAATTGAAAACAGAGTAGCTTTATCTTCTAATTATAGCCTTGCAAAATATGTGTCAAGACGGGTCATCGGATACTGTTAAAACATTAAAACAAGCTTCCCAGGCCTGTTTCTAATGCATCTGACTCGACTGTCATTGTCTATACTAACGTGCTATGCGTGTACCGAACAGTGGATCACTTATGACTTGATGATAAGCAATTTGTTTCAGTATTACAATTCCCGTTATAAGATTATGGAGAGACCAGCTGATATTGACGACATAAATTATGTCAGTAGTCTGTCATGAAATGTATGTATGGGGACTTATTACTGTCTATCAACCACTGGGATCAATATCACTAGGCTGTCTATGGCATGTACAAATGTATCCTTTAATCTTTCTCATTGGTTCAAAAATATGTAGGACACATAAAACTCCGCGTATGGACCTTATGCATAGGTTTACATGTTACTTCATTAGAGAGCCCTGAATATTGTTATGAACGTTATAGTACAAGCAAACTGTTCATTTAAATAGTTCAATATTCCAGCTTTTCCAGTCCGGATCTTCACGGATTCCCGTAATATTTACATATTTCATTGTCTCTGTTACAGATTTGTGTATTGTGAGAGATGACATATTGCATTGTTTCTGCTACAGATTTGTGTATTGTGAGAGATGACATATTGTATTGTTTCTGCTGCAGATCTGTGTATTGTGAGAGATGACATATTGTATTGTTTCTGCTGCAGATCTGTGTATTGTGAGAGATCACATATTGTATTGTTTCTGCTACAGATCTGTGTATTGTGAGAGATGACATATTGTATTGTTTCTGCTGCAGATTTGTGTATTGTGAGAGATGACATATTGTATTGTTTCTGCTGCAGATTTGTGTATTGTGAGAGATGACATATAGTATTGTTTCTGCTACAGATTTGTGTATTGTGAGAGATGACATATTGTATTGTTTCTGCTACAGATCTCTGTATTGTGAGAGATGACATATTGTATTGTTTCTGCTACAGATCTCTGTATTGTGAGAGATCACATATTGTATTGTTTCTGCTACAGATCTGTGTATTGTGAGAGATGACATATTGCATTGTCTCAGCTACAGATCTGTGTATTGTGAGAGATGACATATTGCATTGTTTCTGCTACAGATTTGTGTATTGTGAGAGATTACATATTGTATTGTTTCTGCTACAGATTTGTGTATTGTGAGAGGTGACATATTACATTGTTTCTGCTACAGATTCATGTAGTGTGAGAAGGGACATGTTGCATTGTTTCTACTAAGCATCGGTTAGAGCTGGAGATGATCGGTTAGAGATGGAGATGACAGATCTACTGGTCGGATGATCTATGGAAGGTGAAAACGGTCCTTCGGAAGAAACACCCATCATCAGCATGATTTTGAAATCCAGGCCCGGATTTCTCGAAACAAACTTAAGTTTTTACTCAAATTTCAAACTGAGTTGGACAATTTGAAAGAGATGATTTTTTAACTCAACTGCATTTTTTAAATAAAAAAGCCCAAACAACTTAAGTAATCTATCCACCAAACTCAAATTGTCTACAATGTTTGAGTTTAATATCGATTTTAGTTCATTCGGGGAAATGCATTTTCTCAAATTTGAGTAAAAACTCTAACTTACGTCGAAACTCAGACTTAAGTTTGATTCGAGAAATCGGGGCCAGGTATTTTACGACGCCAGTATGATTGGTATTCAACATACAGCAGTCTCTACTTACCAATTGTTGTTATGACCGTTACCGAGTACAGCAGAGCCCCGGCAAACGACCACTGGAGCTCCCCCTCCCCATCCTTGCCATCCCATCCTTTCTCCTTGGTGGCTGTGTAAACTTCCTTCTGGAACGCCTTCAACACATCATCAGCCAGTTGAGTCCAATTCTCCTCATATAACACATTGAGATCTAGAGTCAGGTTCCACAACGCATGTACTTGCCGCTTCCGGTTAGCCGCCATATTGTTTCTTTCTACTACTTCAGACGGAGCCTCCAATTTCATGAAGATAAATCCACCCAACACCGAATAAGCCACCACTAACGAACACAAGCCTATATGTGAAAACACGAAAGTCGTGAAACGTTTACAACACACCAAACATGTCTCTTTCTTTTTTGCCTGTTGTCTTGCCTTTCTGTCTTTCTTTGATGGACAACACGAACAACATCCGGTGCTTTTTTCGGTTCCAGAATCCGGTTCCGTTTCCGGTTCCGATTCCGTACCTGCAACCTTGTCTCCAGTTTTGCAGCAGCAGCAGCAGCTGCAGCAACCATTACAACACTTTTTCTTTTTTTTCTTCTTGTCCCGTTTCCGGGGTTTTCGAATGGGTCTGTTAACGGTCCCGGCATTTGGTGCCACCAATTGTTGTCGAAGAGCTCCGGGCTGCTCTACGACCGGTGTTTCGTTTCCGCTGTGATTCTCAATTTTGAATAATCTCAGGAAAAAACACTATCACGAAAAGTAGATTATACACGCACTGTGTGAGATGTTTACCTGAATCACATTAATATGTATTCCATCCAGAGTGACACACGTCTTTGTTATTTCCGACATTGGACCGTATCTTCAGGCACATGTCAGCAACAAACCTCTCAGTGTTGGTCCTAACTATCCTGTGGAAAGGAAAGTTATCCTACTCAGAACAAACCACACGGGTGAATGGCACGCAACGCTGTATAAATGTTTTAGTTCGTTCGGCACTGAAAACTATCTTGAATCAGCATCCCTCGAGCTTACCGTACATTTATCACCAATAAAAATTCTGTTTTAAAGTTATGAATCCCTTTTCGTATCCTGGGGACTTTATCCTTTGAGTTTTATTTTGAAGATTCACTTGGGCGTCACTAGCTGAACGGTCTCGTTGACAACATCACTTCGACGGTGTAAGCTGTGTAGTAAACGATGACGCCGTTACTGGAGACGCTGCTCGTGTTGACTTCTCATCACTGAAACATATAGTGACAAACAGTTACAAACAAATTCATCGAGATAATTCAACAGTTAATATACAGAGACCAAACTATGGCTGTTCTTGTTTTACGCTGCACTCAACAATAGGCCAGCTGTATAATGGTTGCCATAAATAATCGAATCTGATCCAGACAATCAAGTGACTGATACTGAGAATAACTATCTGCCAATGACACTCGATCAACCAGGCATGACCATCCGATTCGTCTGGTTGCTTCAAACGACCAGCATAGGTTCTGATGGCCTGTTCTAACTCTGCATAGCGACGAGCGGTTGATGGGTGCATACGACACGGTTAAATACTTAATGCCTATCGCACAAACATAGACTATCTGGCTAACGACTGTGATCCCGTTATTGTCCCAGCGCCCGCTGAACGAAGTGTTAATGTTCTATAGCAAGACGTGATGCAGTGAAGCACTGGGGGATGTTCCCGATACGTTTTCGATACATTGTCCGTCAGCCTCCCATCACTGTAATTACACAACCCGTACTCCACTGGGTACAACCAAACATCGTAAATCTACAATCTATCAACAAACTGGCTGTGCGTTTATCGCCCGATCGAACACTATAAACTGTGAGGTACCAAGTCAACCCACCCTCGATAACATCCGAGTCGCGCTTGAACCTTAGCGAGTCTACAAGACTATCATAAGTTTGCCTTAATCATCAAATATCATTATTGTCTCCAGGGTTTCTGTATCAAGTGCTTGAACCTCCTCTCGTTAAGCCCGAGAGTACTATTCAGTTGAAGTTAATACACAGCATCAATGAAAGCACACAATTCCAGTGTCCATTGAAAAGATCGCCGTCCGGCCGCTAGTGGTCACTTCCGTTTGGCAATCAATACAATTAGGTTGTAACTAATTCTCATCAAAGAAATACATTTCCTTTGAGCGGAACCATTTATTGATACAGTGGCTAAGGCGGTGTTAAAGATTACAGATCGCCTGGACACTTACACGTGTATGTAAAACGCGGAATGATAACGCTGAACTCTTAAGGAAATGTGTTAGTGTTTATAAATGGACGGTTAAACGTCTGTTAACAAACGTATAGTGGCGATTTTAAAAGACTGCTACAGCACTTGACTGACTCCAAGACATACGGATTGATACACTGAAGGATTGATTGAAACGAGATCATGAGGACAGATGTGCTGTCGGACTTTATTGGACTGGGGATCATGCTGTCGTGCGGACGTAAATTATTTACAAGCTTTAATGGAGATATGACATAGGACAGATGTACTTTAATCCTTGACTGACTCTAAGACATGCGAATTGATACACTGTAGGCCTGAGTGACGCGATAACATGACCACAGGTGTGCTGTAGGACATTATGGAGGGTCTGGCATTAGACTATGTACAGTAAGTCGTCATTGAGATGTGACATAGGACAGATGTACGTTAAGGTTTGACTGACCCGGTGACATGCAGACAGACATACGGTGAGATTTAAGTGAGATGCTACGATATGCTGACTGATATACCTTGACTAATTCATTGAGGACAGGACATAAATGCGATGTTTCACTGACAAGACGACGTGAGATCAGATATACTGTTCCTCGGGCCTCAACTGACTGACTGACTGACAGATATGTAGTGAGATTTACGTGAGATGCTACAATATGCTGACACTTATAGTCTCACTGACTCACTGAGACAGGACATAAAGCAGATGTTGTCATATGATGTCCGACACACTGCTGAGTTTCCGTGACAAGATGACGCGTGGACAGATAGCATCATCAAAATCTTTATTACGTATGAAGGCCACAGGCCCATATACATATTAATATACATATTCGAAACAAGTATGAAAACAGGAAACAATTTCTTAAAAGATTTAGCATTTACCTGTCTACCTGAGTAGATTTTCTTACACCCCCAGTGAAAAATATCAGTTACATATATATGTACATGTATAGCTGTAATGGATTTTGTTTAATAATTTTAATACCTATTTCTATTTTTCTAACTTTTTTCTTATTTTGTATGCATAATAGATAAAGCGAGCTAAATTATTTATGTCTTCAGTTTTGTTTTGTTTAAGGACATGTCTAAACGATATTATATTTACTTGCAAATTCTTAGGCAAAAATCTATCCCGACGATCTTTATAAGCTGGACATTTCAACAAAAAGTGATATTCATCTTCTAAATCTACTTTACATGCAGGACAATTTCTTTGAGATACATCAATATTCTGCCACCTACCTACGTTATTCTTGAAACGTAAGACACCAGCTCTGAATTTGACCAATACTTTACGGAATTTATATTCAATATTTGAAGACCGATACCCCTCAGGCTCAAGAAGACTCTTATATTTTGCATATAACGTATAACGTGAACTGTTTTCAAGAGTAGATGTCCAATTTTGGTAAAACATATTGATCAAGCGTTCTTTAAAAAAGTGAATAAAAGCGCACGGATCACCGACAGCTTGTGAAAACCAGACAAATCCAAAGCCGTGTGAGCAAAGTATATGGCGGATCTCAGACGCCTATGTGTGGTACCCAGCAGTATCTAGGTAGTATAACATATTAAATGCCTTTTTCGGAATTCGTCCATCATGCATTGTCATTAACGTAAGCCAATATTTCATCGTTCGAACGTAGGAATTAATATAAACTGGAAACCGTCCACACTCTCCATATACTATTGCATTTGGTGTCTGTGGACCGACATTTAAAAATATTTTACATGCTTGTAAGTGAACTTTTTCAATGCTGTCGTATCTTTTAATCCCCCAAACTTCTGACCCATACAAGTATATTGGCTGAATTTGGCTGTCCAATAATATAAACAATACTTCCAAAGGTATTGGTCCTAATTTCCTTAAATATATAATTAATTCCATTAAGGCCTTCTTACTACGAGCTGCAAGTTCTGAGACAGCTTGCCTGAGACTACAATTACACGTGAACACAAAACCTAGATATTTGTAGCTGTTTACCGTTTCAATGTTTCTCCTATTATAAAGCCAGTTTTCCTCAACCGCTAATTTCCCACCTTTCCTAAAGACAAGAACTTTAGATTTATCTAAATTTATAGTTAATCCCCACTTATCTGCATACGATTTTAAAGTGTCTAGCTGGCACTGAAGACCACCAATAGTATCTGACAAGAATTACATCATCAGCAAACAACAACATTAGAATTTCAAGTACATCTGGAAACAATTGGACCCCATGCTTACCATAATTTGGGATTTCTCCTTAAAGTTCATTTATAAACAATGAGAATAACATTGGACTCAACATACAGCCCTGCCGCAAACCAAATGGACAATTAAAATGTTCCGTTAGCTCGGATTGTACTCTGACAGACGATTTCACTGTGTTATATATGCTCATAAGAGCTTTTAGCATATTACCGTTTACGCCGTATGATGAGAGTAATTTCCAGAGTTTATCTCTATTCACAAAATCAAAGTTTATTAAAGTCAATGAAAGCAACGTATATCATTTTCCTTCTTCTACATAGGTTTTTCTCGATGATAGCATACAATGTGAAGATATGGTCAACAACTGATCATGAATAGCCCTTCCGAAACGCAGCTTGAGTTTCAGACACTTTATTCATAACATATCCACGGTAATTATCGGGAATATTTACATCACCTTTTTTGTGCAGAGGAACTATAATGGCTTTACGCCACTCTTGTGGAAAACAACCGTTTTAAAATATTTTATTGAACATTGCCACTAAAAAAGGCATTATTTTAGTTTCGCTTGTTTTAATCATTTCTATGATGACGTTATCAATTCCTGGAGATTTACCATTTTTCATATGCTGTATAGCCTTGTGGATTTCTTCCTCAGTAATAATGGATTCAAGTATCTGCTTATCAACTTCACTCATTTCTACAGATATACTACAGCTGACTCACTGTATAGTGTATGTTGGAACCATGCTGATTGATTCTGATTGACGGGATATGGCCACAACGCCCCGGTACAACTATTCTTTAACTCCGATAAAACCGCATAAAGTTTGCAAACTTCACATTCAAGACAATTTCGACGTAACATCTTTGAAGTTTCTGGAACACGATGACACGAAGCTTTAGTGGATAACAACTCCTTTATTCTCTCCAGTGACGCCTCCGCGCCTCCTTGGCCCTTCATCGCATTGCAATGATGCTAGAAACAATAAAGAGGATGTTATCCATAAAAGCTCCATGCCATCAATTCGAAATAATCCATTTCATGAGGTCTTTGATGTTGGGTGTTTGTTTATACTGTAAACACAATCCAAGTGTTCCCTCGTTCGCCACAATGACGTGGTCAGAGTCAGAAGTTATATGGACCAGCTCCCAACGTAAGACTGCATCATACTTCATACTGAATTCAACGGGAGTGAGTCGGTAGATTATTAGTTGCATTTTCCAGGTTAGTTCTGGCATTTGTGGAACAGGATTTTGTATTTTCACTTTAAATAATTCATTTAAACAGCATATATGTTCTTCAAATCAATGCTTATGAATATGACCAAATATGTATGCATGCATGTATGTGTGTATGTATGCATGTATGAATGGATGGATGGATGGATGGGTGGATGGGTGGATGGATGGATGAATGGATGGATGGATGGATGGATGGATGGATGGATGGATGGATGGATGGATGGATGGATGGATGGATGGATGGATGGATGGATGGATGGATGGATGGGTGGGTGGGTGGGTGTATGGATGGATGGATGGATGGATGGATGGATGGACGAATGGGTTTGATGGATGGTTGGATGGATGGATGGGGGCGTGCGAGTGTGTGTGTGTATGTGTGTGCGCGCGCGTGCCCGGGTGCGTGTGTGTGACGTATAGCTATGAAGAAAACTGTGGGGCCTAATCACTAATGCCATATTCTGTCGGTTCTCCCACCGCGTCTCCATACAATCACAAACTTCTGGGACATCTGGGAAGAAACACTGACAGATAGTTTTACATGGCGAACATATATTTTGATAGACATTTAAAGAAATGAAATTAAAATCCAGCCATTGAACGAGGGGCGCAATAATTACTAAGGCATTGGTATTTCCTTCTCAGATCTCCATTTCAATTTAAACTTTAGTCTAATATGAATTTGATTACATACACACTAATATATCCCTGGCGTTAACACTGTGTTACCGCTGTCAGGCTTTCAACGGTCCCACTAGCACTGACAATCAATCTTGTTCCGATAGACCGCATTTCTAATATTCCACGACCTTGTACTACCCGCTGCGTTTTACATTTCAATTATATTTTTCTTACACCATTTTGTATATGAAACCTATTTCTCTCGCTACTGCGCAGTGACGACGCGGGAGGTGCATGACCCTTGGACTCGACGACAACAACGACAACGAGTGTTGCTGTGAGGTATGGTGATGGGAAAGTTTGGAGGCAGGTGGAAGGTTACACTTGATGGCGTCCTGTCGTGATCCCGAGATAGATCCAGTAAACAGGAAGTACATGCGCCGCCATTGTTCATAATAACGCTGTCCTCGACAGCTCACGTGTGAATCCCCGTGGGGTGCATTTATACTGTAATCTATCTGCAGCCCTCGTGGACATCCCTGATGACGGCAGATCTGCAAACTTAGAGACATCTTGCCACTGGTTTTAAACTCAGCAGCATCCACAAAAACTCATCTAGGAGATGTCCTGTAAAGATGCAGCGGACTGAGGAATTATTGGACTATGGGAGGACAGTGAGCCAATGAGATCTGAACCTTATTTTATTCTCGTGTGTGAGTGACTTTGTGTGTGGGTGAGGTGAGTGAGTGAGTGAGTGAGTGAGTGAGTGAGTGAGTGAGGAAAGTGCATGGTAGATGTTTGCCACTTTATTGAAATCCACAAGCATGGGTATGGTGTTGGCACGCCTAGAATTCATTCTCGGCGAATAGGAATTCGAACCCCCGGGCCCTTATCATAGATCTCTGGCACGTCCACGTTCCCTGCACATCCAATTTCAGTGCCTTAGAGAACTGGGCAACCGGTGATCCCTGACTCTCAACCTAGTTGTGAAATATTTGAAAGTTCGCATGTGTTTAAGGACGCTTTGTGGCAACAAACAATATGTCTATCATCGTGATCGTTATGATCATTATCTAGCATAAACATCTACATAGTTGAAGTGCTTAGAAGTGCTCCCGAACTCTACAATTGGATTGTTATAGATCA